TGTGTGCCCCATCTTGGCGAGGCAGCCCAGCAGGTACTTGAGGCTGCAGTCCCGCTCGGCCAGCAGCTGCAGGAGACACTGTGTGGGGCTGCCGCGGGGCTCCAGCACCTTCAGCGAGCACATCTCCAGCTCCTCCTCACTGCAAAGCCCCAGCAATCAGCACCCACGGGCCCACACAGGCACCTGGGCAGGATGGGACCCTCCATGGGGTCCAGCAATGCACACACACTGTTTTTTGCATTTTGCCACATGGAGCTGGGACAGGCTGGAGTCCCCAAGCCATCCACGAGATGTCACTCGTGCAGGGATGGACCTGGCTGCTGCCCATGGTCCCCGTGGCCCTACCTGCATTTGAAGCGCTTCTCGGCCCCGGCCACCTCTGCCAGCTTGCGCCAGCCCCGGCTGGCAGTGTCCAGGAGCTCACAGAGCCGGGCCACCACGTCCTCGCCCAGCGAGCCCACGGACATGCTCCAATCAGCCATCTCGGCAGGTACCCTGCTCCAGCACCACGTGGCACACCAGCCACCGGCTGCCTAGGGCTGCAGAGGGAATCATGACCAGGATAACGTGACGGGCACCTTCACCCTTCCTACATGGAAACCACCCTGCTTGGCCCCAGCTTGGGGGTGGCACCGGGGACTGGGTTCCTTCCTGCCCCTGGGTCCCTTTCTCCCTCCCCACCCACACATGCTGGTGGTGGCAGGTGGCGTTGGAGCCAGGGAGCAGCAGGGGCTTGATCAGGAGGGCAGAGACTCACTTGCCACCCAGCACAGTGCTTTAGTGGCCCAGGGGGAGAAAAGGCCTGGGCGCGGGGGTGGGGGTAGCAAGGGACGGGCGAGCAACAGCCCAGGGACAGAGGGGACAGCAGACTCACCGGTGGACACAGCCTGGTCCGAACCTGCAGGGCAGATCCCAGTGGAGCCTGTCTGGAGCTGCAGCGCGGTGTGGGCCGAGCCCCGTGCAAAGGAAATGAAGGTTAAAAGCAAAAGTGTCCCCCCCCGCCACCGCGCGGCACTTCTGCTTTCGGGAGCCACTTCCTGCGCTGCAGCGCGTGGGCGTCCGCCTGCTGCCACCAGCCTCCCCTGGGCCTGGGGGAGCTGCCGCCTCTGGCCACCCCCAGACCAGGACACCCTGCTGAGACCACGGGCCACGCTGTGGCTCCAGCAGCCCTTACTCGTTGAAAGGGGACATGGCTCCTTCTCAACCTTCTGCACACACCAGGCCCAAGATTGCGAGTAGGAGAGGGTCTCAGGGAAGCCCGTGGGCTTTGCTGGGTGGGGACACGCAAGGACAGGGCAGCCACAAAGGCCTCGGTGCCTCTGGGGGAGATGTGGCCAGGGACGTTGCTGTAACCACACAAAGGCAAGCTGGGAACCCCGAGGGTCCCGGTCACCGCAGTCCCCCGTAGCCCCAAGACGTCCCCTTCGCCACCAGGGCCACGCAGCGCTGGCGGCGATGGGGGTACCTCCACCATCAGCCCCGTTTTGGGAGGCTGAGTGGGAGAAGTGGGAGCGGGGGGCAATAGCACCAAGAGTCCTGGGGAGAGAGCCCATGACCCCACCAGCAGGGACCACAATGTGCCTCATCGCTGCCCCCACAAGGCACCAGATCCCAGGGAAGGAAATGCTCCTGGGACCACCAGCACTGGCAGACACAGCGATGCCACAACACCCGGAGCTTGTGGCCTACGGGTAACCCACAGCAAGGGACCCCATCAGCTAGTGGCAAATGCCATCAGCTGATCCTCAGTGCAGGATGCGACGCACACGCCAGGGGCAGGCACCGGACACTGAGGTGGGACACGCAGGACACTTGCAGGGTGTCTGCACTCGCCCCAGCTGCCGGAGGGAACAGACATCAGCACAGCCACAGATTTATTCTGTTTTTAGAAAGAATAAGAGACTGAGAGCAGGGGAAGGCAGCTCAGCCCGGTGCCATCCACGCAGCTCCCAGGGGATGGCCGGGCCCAGGCCTAGAACTTCCTGCCCTTCCTGAGCTTGTTGCGGCGCCACGTGTCGTACTTCCGCAGGCGCCTCCAGTATTCCAGCGATTCGGGGTCCATCTCCTCCAGCTTCTTGGGGGGATTCAGGTTGATCTTAAAGAGCCTGGGAGTGAACAAAGAATGAGTGACATTGGAAGGGGACAGGCAGAGGACAAAGTCATGACTGTGCGCGATGAGGTGCCCAGGGTCCACCACAGCACAACTTGCTCCTCCTCTTCGCATCCTCCTCCTGGGATGGGGAGCAGCTCCCATCTCCTACACCCGCCTGCGTCTCCAGGCCTGGAACGGTGCCGCCTTGCCCAGAAACTCACCTGCATGGCTACAGAGGACACTTTGCAGGATGAGCACCCCAGCAAGCCACTTATGGGACCTTCTAAGAGCATGGTGTCTTGCAGAGATGACCCTTCAGGCCAGCACCAGGACATCCAGGTCCATCAGCTGCTGGCCATCCCAGCTCCAGGTCTGGGTGCCCTTCCAGGACTCACCAGTCGGGATACTCGGAGTCGGGCTTCAGAGCCACCTCGGGGCCCTCCTTGTAGATGTTGACGCCCATGGCATAGGTGGTGAGCAGCACGGGGTCAGTGCACACGGGAGGGCCTGTCACCTCCTCCTTGGCCATGCTCTTGCCTTTGGTCTTGCCAGCTGCGGGGACAAGGAAAGGGTCAGGGACAGGAGCGGGGTCAGCCATGGGGCCGGCCATGGGGGACACGGCTGAGCAGGACACAGGGGACCCTGGGGCAAAGCAGAGTGGGGCACAGGAGACACAGGGGACAAAGCGGAGAGAGACATAGGGGACAAAATGGAGAGGGACATGGGGGACAAGGTGAAGCGGGGCATGGGGGACATTGGGAGGGCACAAAGAAGCAGGACACAAGGGACAAGGTGGAGCACAGACATGGGGGACACGGGGGAGACCGGGACGAGTGGCCTGGGGCGAGCCCGGGCCGGGCGCCGGTGCCGGTGTCGGGGCTGGCCGCGCTCACCCGGTTTCTTGGCGTAGCCGCGGGCCGGGCCGGGCGCGGGGCGCAGCGCG